ATGGCAGATATGCTGCCAGGAACAGGAAACTACAAAAACCTTTTACCTATTTGTAAATTTATGTAAATAACCAGATCTGTTGTGTTTAATTTAATTGGTGGCCTTCTTTATGCTGAAAACATGTGGAGCACGTAACTCCCGGGGCTGCAACTTTTAGAGACCAATACGCAAGTAAAAGTTGTGAGAAAGCAAAACATAAATTCACCTATATAGTTCTCCTTAATTCTGTTTGCAACCAGGGATGCGAGCGGCTGCATTTTACTTGGTCAGTATTAGAAAATCACAGCTGGTTGTCACGCAGAAATTGCTAAACTGTACTCAGTTGCACACATTATTTTGTTAGCTTTCATGACTTGCCTGGTGGTTGAACCACCTTGGCTGCCACTCCCACATTTATGATTTAATTTTAATTTCATGTCTCTGCGTGAGTGCAGCTACAGCGTGTGCTCTCAAGACATTATTACATGCAGTGTTCCCTCAGTTAGGACCGAATTGGGCAAAAGGGCCTACTCCGCTCCTGTTTCCTGGAATATCTTGCAAAAAGATCTGAAGCTCTCGACCTTGACCTCTCTAAGTGGCTTCAAACATCTGTTAAGTTCCTGGCAAGAACCAATGCAGACATGTTTATAGTTTTCTACACCGCCTTATAATTTAGGTGTTTTTTTTTTCTCGATACTTTTCGTTTTGATGGCTATTTTGTTTTGATTTGTTAAAAAAAAAATTGCATGCTTTTTTTGTAACTGTCTATTGTTGTCATTGTTGTCCACTGTTGTCATCACTCTTTGTTAAAGAAATCAGGTCTCTTGTAAATGAGTCCCAGAGTCTCAATGGGATTAACTGTCTAAATAAAGAATGAATGAATGAAAATTTACTGGACTACATTTTGGACATTAAGATGAGTAGATTAAACCCAGTATTTTTATTGTTGTTTATCACTGATGTGGATTTTAGACCTGGACATTTAGCTCTGTAGTTTCAAATGAGTACTATAAGAGGAGAGTTCTTGTACAGTTGTCAAGACAGCTATGGTCCTCTTGAAGGGTTTGAAAGATGTGCAGTAAAATTGAGATGGCCTTGAGACTGGTTCAAGATGGTCTCAATGGCTTTTTGAGTTTTTGGAGAGAAAAAAAATGTTGCAGAAATCTTTTTCAACACGTTCAAACTTTACATGACAAGATTACGATCTTCTGTGATTGGCATGTGGACACTGACAACCCCAAACACGTGGAGACTTGCAAATGCTGTCCAGGAACAGTCACAAATCAATAATATATTGACTTCAAGGACAGAAACTCCCTTATCACTTACTAGTACTTATTTTAAACTTGATTAAACTCTAGTAAACTTACTTTAATTTGTGGAAATTTATAATTTAATTACTGAACACTTTTCTTTATCTAGAGAGCCAAAAAAGGAAAAACAATCAGGATGACTCTGATGAAGATGACGATGACGATGATGAAGCAGGACCATCGACACAGCAAGTTGCTGCTGTTCAGCCTCAGGCGAGCTACGTCACACCAATGACCCAACCTGGCATTCCTGTGGCTGGTGCACCTGGGTTACCTCCTGCAGGATATCAAGGCAAGAACATTTTTAATAGCAACAGCTGGGAGTCGACTGTTTTTGGTAACCAAAATTAAAGGGGGTATTTTTATTAGGGGTGCACTGATAAATCAGCCCCAATTTCCTTAATTTTGGGAAATTGGAAATCAGCCGATACTTGCATGAGAAACTGATTTTACTGATAATTAATTATTATTTTTTTTGTTTGTTTTAACAACAGTTGTCTGAACTTCATTTATATTTCAGAGCACTACCTGACCTGATGGCCAGTTAAAACAAGTCTGTATTGTTTCTAGGAGATTGTTCAAGGGTATGTTTTTCAACAAAATAAGATTAGAAAATTGAAGGTGCATTGTGACCTTAACACCTGACTGTGTCACTTATAAAACAAAATCGGTATCGGCCAAAATTGGAATCGGCAGCTCAGACTTTTTAGAAATCGGTGATCGGCCAGAAAACTGCAATCGGTGCACCCCTAATTTTTATGAAGCCTCATATGAACCACAGTTTTATTAAAATAGCTGATAGAACCAGGCTTGCATAACACCAGTGCAACCTGGGGCCTGTACTATGAAATAGAATTATTTTAGCTCTGTGAGTCTGAGGTTTTTGGTCTCGTTAACGTGGTTCACCTCTTACAGTCAGAGTCAGTCAGAGTCAGAGTTTCTTTATTGTCATTCGCACCTCATGTGGTACATGTGGTGGAGCGAAATTATGTACACAGGGTCCCAGTTACATCCAACAATAAAATGTATAAGAAAAACAGTAATAACATCTAAGATATGAACTAAGAAAAACATCAACTAAATATACACTAAGCACTCATAACATAAAACATTGAACATCACCACAAACATGAACATGAGTCTGTGAGCAGATGTGCACGCATGAACACACCAACATTGAAACAGATCAGCAGCAACATGAAACAGATCAGCAGCAACATGAAACAGATCAGCAACATGATATGGTTTTTCACAGTGATTATTCTAGTTAGAGATTCATGAGTCTAACAGCCTCAGGGTAGAAGCTGTTCCTCAGTCTAGTGGTTCTACACTTAATGCTCCTTAACCTCCTTCCTGAGGGGAGTGGGGCAAAAAGTGTGTGTGCTGGGTGGGTGGGGTCCTTCATGATGCAGGTGGCCCTCTTCCTGCATCTGGAGGTGTAGATGTCTGTGATGGTGGGGAGGCTGATTCCAACAGATTTCTGTGCAGCCTTCACCACTCTCTGCAAAGCTTTTCTTTCTGCAGCTGTGCAGCCTCCATGCCACACATTGATGCTCGAGCACAGGATGCTCTCCACTGCACACCTGTAGAAGGAGGTGAGGACTGAGCTTCCCAGACCAGCTCGTCTCAGCCGTCTGAGGAAGTAGAGTCTCTGATGAGCTTTCTTGATCAGGCTGGTGGTGTTGTTGCTCCAGCTGAGGTTGTCATTCATGTGTACACCCAAGTACTTGTAGCTGGAGACCACTTCCACCGCAGATCCTCTTATGTTCAGGGGGGTGTAGGTGTTTTTGTTCCTTCTGAAGTCCACAATCATCTCCTTTGTCTTCTTCACATTGATGTGAAGGTTATTCTCTCTGCACCAGCTCTCCAGGTGTTCCACCTCCTGCCTGTAGCTGGACTCATCATTGTACAGGGGCCGACATAAGCAGTTTCTGTTTGTCCAAGACGAGCTATTTTCATATCAGGCAGCCAGATCTCGCCTCGAGGTTCTCCAGTGGACAACAAGTGAAACTGTCATGAATTAAAGTTCTCTGTTGCCATGACAGATTTCCGTCATCTGTAAAACGTGTAGGGGTGGGGGGTGTTCTGGTGTAGTCTTGTTAAAATCATCCAATGTAATTATATCCACATTATTCCTAGCCCCATGCTGCCTTACGTGAATGGGTACAACTCCGGCATGGACCAGAACTGGCATTGGTTTATGTGCAAACGGTACGAGCTAATGTAATTTCTTCGAACATTGTGGATTTAATTTAAACATGTAGGAACACCAGCTGTCAGAGCTCAAACAGGACAATATAATCATAGTACTGCCTGCTTCAGACGAGGGATGGAGGACCTGAAAAAGTGGCTGCAGATTACATCTACTTGCATATTTAGTTACTCCACTGACTTGGTTGCTTCCGACAGTGAAGTGATGAACAACCTGAAAAGCTCTGAGGTGTATTAGTATCTACACAGTAATAAGGTCAATTGTGTTTTGTTAAAAGATGTGGGACACTATCTTATTGACCTTAAAGCAGACACAGAGCCCAGCCAAAGCCTTAAAAGTCCTCCATCACAGAGTTTGCGTCAATTGCAGACAAAATCGTAATAGTGAAGATGAACAAATACTATAATGCTGTACCCTCCTTAAAATCATACCCAATGTTCTCGTCTCACTGTTTTCAGTCCTTCTGAGGATCCGGCGTCTCTTCTCTGGTGGTTTATTGTAGCTGAGCCACAAAGTAGGATGCAGGTTTTGCAGAACTCTGTTCTGCCGAAAAGCTTCTTCCAACTAAGACAGGTAGCTAAGCTCAAGCCAGTATTGTCCAGACCCGACCTTGAGAAACTAGTCCACGCCTTTGTCACGACCCGATTGGACTATTGCAATGCACTCTATGCTGGGATCAGCCAGGCCTCCATCTCACGTCTTCAGCTCGTCCAGAATGCTGCTGCTCGACTTTTAACTGGAACTCGTAGGTCTGAAAATATTACACCAGTTCTGTCCTCCCTTCACTGGCTCCCTATTCGTACTAGGATAGTTTTTAAAATTCTTTTGTTGACCTTCAAATGCTTAAATGGCCTCGCACCCCTTTACCTCTCTGAGCTACTGGAACCTTACGTTCCCTCTCGGGCTCTGAGATCATCCGATCAGCTGCTTTTGGCTGTTCCAAAAACAAGACTGAAGCTCAGAGGATATCGGGCATTTTCAGTCATGGGCCCCAAACTCTGGAACAACCTGCCCCCCAACATCAGGCAGGCCACCTCACTTCAAATCCCTGCTAAAAACTCATCTGTTCTCGCAGGCATTTCACACAGTGTAAATTGATTTAGTGTTTTTTGTTCTGTGATCCCATGTTTTAAATGCTTTTTTATTAATTCTTCAATTATTATTAGTGTTTGTTTTTTTTTTTTTGTTTTTTTTTTTTTCACTTTAATTTTACTCCCATTGATGTTGTTGTTGTTAAGCACTTTGATAACAGGTTCTGTTTTAAATGTGCTCTATAAATAAAGTTGACTTGACTTTTACTCCGTCAGCCGTTTGTCAACAAAGTGAAATGATCACACATACAGCGTTTTGTGTGGTTACTTCAAGTTCACATTTTTCAGCCACATTCTTCTTAAATCTTCGTCTGTAGGTAGGAGATGGAAACTATACCTCTTTTCACAGGAACACTCTTTTTTTTTGTTTTGGGTCTGTGTTCAAAACTCTGTTGTTGTAGCCACTGATTTAGTTTGGTCTGGTTGTTCATGTAGCTGTGGACACAACAGGTCCCTGAACTCAGCACGGCTATTTTAATAAACTTTATGGTCGTCAAATAAATGTGAACAAAACAAAAACAGCGTTTCGTCTTCTAAACTGAATTCAAATTACTTTCAAATAAATTACGGTCTGTGCTCTGCTACCATTTTTAACCAATGCTTACTGCTACTTCCTGTCTGACAGGAAGTTGTACCCATAATCATTTAGACAGTAAAGCCCCCAGGAATAAGGTGGATACGACTGAACATTACCTTAAGGCTGCTTCTGTTGCTTTAGTTCATAGAATTAAACAATGTTAACACTAAAAGACAAATATTTACATATTCCAGATTATAGCAAAGATGTTTGTCTTGGTTTGTCCTCTAGACTCACAAAGTTCTCCCTGAGTCAGTTTCATGTGTTTGTAATTTATCATAAATATCTGCTAAATTCAATTCTACACAGTGTTTTTAGTAACACCAAGGGGTTGTGGCTGTTTGAATTAACTAAACTTGATTATATTTAGAAACATACTGAGAGGTAACTGTACTCTGATAAATCTTATTTAATAATGACCAAATATGAAAAAAGTATTAAATTACTATGCGAGTCTGCCACTCAGTAGCTTTGAGATTCGAAGTAATCCCCAAGATGGCTGACTGAGAACATGTGTACTAAGTAAACTTTGTACATACTGCAATATACTTATTAGATTTTTTTAAATCTTGATTTTTTTTCCTTTTTTATTATGAAGGTTGCGGACAACAAAATATTTTAACAGATATACAAGAAGTTATTCTCATGTTTATTTTAGCGTTGAGCAGTTTCTTGTTTCACTAAGAAATATTTTGTGCGTCATCTCAACAGAGCAGATGCTCATGTGGCCTAAAGTCCTGTTGACTTAAATTTCAATAGTCAATGAACTGTACTTGTATAGTCAGCCAACTAGGCTACTCAATGCAGTTTACAACACAATCTGCACCCTCATTTACCACCAACACACACATTCATACAGACTTCATACGGAAGGAATAAAAAAGTAAACGTCCAAGAATGCATGTAAAACAAAGTAAAAACCTCTCATACCTTGATAGCAGTCTGTTTTGGATTTTTTGTTTTTAAATGAATTATTGCAATTAAAAAAAAAAACTTTTTTAATAATTCACTTAATAATTTATACTTAAGTTCAAGAATCTTTATTGTCCCCAAGGGACAATTAGTTATTAACAGAACAGAAATCATCACTGTTCGTTGAGAAGCCTGATCACTACAGGGATGAATGAGTTTTTCAGTCTGTTCGTTCTACATCTGAGCTGCAGATACCTGCATCCAGATAGAAGCAACCTGAACTGACCATGGAGTGGATGATCAGGATCTGCCAGAATCGGCAAATAACGTCACTCTGTTTTATTGTTTATTAGAACAGCTTGATATTGTTAACACAAGTCTGTGTGTAGGATGTTAAGTAGGTGTGTGTAAGTAAATATTTCAACAAAATACATTTGCTCTTTGTTACAGGAATGCCTCCCATGATGCCTGGTGTTCCTCCCATGATGCATGGCATGCCCCCTGGAATGCCTGGGATGCCACCAGCGTAAGAATCAATGCACTGACTTCATCTTTTCAGAAATCCTGCCACATTTATTTAGTCTTGATAAAGTTATTCTCACTAGTTTGTAGAACAGTCAATTAGGTCATGGTTTAAATTTTTTTAAAATAAAATTAATCATTGTTCTCATTTGCAGCATGATGCCAATCGGAGGGATGATGCCTCCCATGATGCCAGGGATGCCCGGTATTCCTCCAGGTCAGTTGTGGTTGCATTTTTGAAAGCCGTTCATCAAATAAAAAATTTTTTCTGTGCAAACGTGCCTCAAAAGTCCGCAAAAAGGCATTTTATGATAATCATGTAGTAATACTTCTTGGTGGTGGATCTAATAGTGTGAAATTTTTAAGAGTTTTCAAACCTATGGTGGCTCAGATGTCTTCAGTTTGAACATTTCTTTGCCTTGCATTATAAAAAGCTATAAAATCTTTCATTTTGAGAGTCACGTCAGTTTTTAAAGATTTGTATTGCCATAATTCTCAGGCTACAAAACACATCTGTCTCTAAGCTGCACATACTAAAATTAAGATGAATCATCATTTTGTACATAAATAAGACGCTCCATTTATTTAGCTGTGGGCATCCACCGTTCATCGTCAGGAACTGTGCCCAGCCAACTCTAACAGTGTGCAGCTTTCTTGTTGTAGCACAAGAATCAGCCAGCAGGTGGTGTTTCACATGTAGCTTGCTTTCAACACGTGAAGACTGCATGATTGTCACAAGTCTTCATGAAGCTTGCTGTCTGACTCATGGTTAAAAATAATCACTGGACAGAACAGTGCCAAATATCTACATAACCAACATTATTTAAAAATTATATACTGGTAAATGTTACCCAGAATTCTTATCGAGGTCATGTGACTGGAAGTCAACTAGTACCAGTAGAATACGGTAAATATTAAATTAGTACCATTGATTTTTATTGTTTAACGCTTTTTTAAATGTACTTTCTAAATAAATTTGACGTGATTTCTCCTCTGCGCTGCTCATATGAGCAGGAGGGAGGACGGGGGAAGAGCCCCCGGTTGTTCGCTCCGTCAGGAGCTTAAATGAGATACAGTACTGGTATTTAAACACATATTTACTGTACACAGAAATATTTTTTTTAACTTTCATTTAAATATGTATCAGTCTTGACTGACTGACTGCTTTAAAAATAAATCTGACAACTTCTCCGCCGAGCTCTCATGATGGAAGGGATGGAGGAAGAACCCATCCGGTTCATTGTCTCTTCTGCTCCAATTCATGCGTTCAGATGTGAGTTTGAAACGAGATCCCTGTATAAACACATATTTACCGTACACAGAAAGATGTCACACAAAGATTAAAACATGTGCCAGGCTTGACTGTTTTGCGTCTCCAATGCCCGACCATCGACACGTTGATGCAAAACTTAAGGATGGCAGCTTTGTTTCCTTCTTTGATCATGCATTTTCCATTATCGCTGAACAAATGAACAGGTATGTGCATGAAGCGCAAAATATAGAAACAACACTGGAACGATCTGAACAAATTATTGCACGTCTATCTTGGGAGATGGTCTTGGAGAGTACCTCATTGGTCATTTAGGTTAGACTTCTGGTCACATGATGACAGGGTGGGAGGAGTTATTTATGGTAGGGAATTTGAAACCCTGAGCAAGAGTCGTCATACATCTGATTACCTGAGGGCATTCACTCCATAGATATCTTATAATCACTAGATACAGCATTGACCGCTATCGCCTATTGGCGCTGACGAGCTGTAGGGCCGCCATCTTGGAACGGTCGACCGTTCCACTCAGTGTAGCCTGTTTGACAGGAGCAATGACGTATCTGCGCGTTTAATCAGTCAGAGCTAAATACTAAACTCATTCTCACGATTTTTTCCTCTGTAAATCTTAGGAGTACAGCCATTAAAGCTGAACACATGGTTCAGTGTATTTAAATATTCTTGGTGGGGTTAACATTAACACTAATAAAATATTCTTATGACACGTTTGCAAAACTCACAGTCACTGATACATTTTTATTAAGATTTATATATATATATATATATATTTATATATATATATATATATATATATATATAATAATATATATACACATATCGTCTCTATCATTTTTACTGTAGTTTATCATTGCCATTGTTTACTGTTCTGTCTGGAGCAGGTCTCTTGTAAATGAGTCCTTGTGGCTCAATGAAGTCAACCTTTATTGATTTATTTATTTATTTATTGAGCCAATAGGACTCATTTACAAGAGAGACCTGGATCTTAACAAAGAGTGATGACAACAGTGGATAACAAACTGTTTTTCACTTGTAAAACGAACAATTAAAAAAAAATTGTATGAATCATTTGTGAATGTGTATTGTTGTCGTTGTTATCACGTCTTATCTTGTGCTGCTCTGGTCCAGTCTCTCCACGGACGATGTGTGTGAGGGTGGACATGTTTGGAGGTTGCTGTGTTGAAGCTCCATGGATCAGCCTCTCTGCAGCTCTCAGCACCTTCACTGAGCCTTGAGAGAATCACTGAGCTGCTGTTGTTCTTCACAGTTAGAAGCTGGTAGCTCTCGTCAAATGATGATCTCCAGCATCATCTTGTTCATGCCAGGCTTTTCATCCACTGACCACAGCCACCTGGAAACATCAGGGGGACCAGTAGCTGTTTAACACATCTGGAAGGAAACCATCCATCCATCCATCCATTATCTTAACCCGTTTATTCCATTTTGGGTCACGGTGGTCGCTGGTGCCCATGTCAAGCAATCACTGTGCGAGGGGCGGGGTACACCCTGGACGGGTCGCAAGTCCATCACAGGGCCACATAGAGACAAACGAGACAAACAACCATTCACTCTCTCACTCACACCTAGGGACAATTTAGAGTTACCAATCAGCCTAACATGCATGTTTTTGGTCTGTGGGAGGAAACCGGAGTACCCAGAGAAAACCCACGCATGCACGGAGAGAACATGCAAACTCCACCCAGAAGGCACCTGGACCAGGGTTTGAACCAGGGACCTGTTCGCTGAGAGGCAGCAGCTCTACCAGTTGCGCCACCGTGCAGCCCGGAAGGAAACCAGTGAGATTTTAATACGACCATGACCATTATGATATGATGATATGTGGGGGAGTGGTGGCGCAGAGGTTAGAAGATGGGCCTGTGATGGGAAAGTCGCAGGTTCAACTCCCGGTACCGTCAACATCAAAACGAGGTGGAAAAGATGAAACACCCACACCTGCTTCCACCCTCATTGGCTCCACTCTGGGCCCCTGAGCAAGGCACTCGACCCCCACCATCTGCTCCTAAACAGGTCTCTGTTGAAAATGAGTTCTCGTGACTCAATGAGACTACCTGGACAAGTAAAGGCTAAATGAAAAAAATGAAAGTTTAAAATAGAAATACTCACATCATTAGGCTGAGGTTGTGGGTGTGACGTGCACGTTCCTGAGAGTGTGTGTGTGTGACGTGCACGTTCCTGAGAGGCCACAGACAGAGCAGCTCCAGCTTTTGTTGAGTTCCTGTAGTCCTGCAGTTTTCAAGCTGAAATGAAAAAACATAATGAATATGAACTTTACAGTCTATAGTTACCTGTTCATATAAACACATGGAGGTGTCTTACCTTGTGACTGACAATAAAATATGTAAATTTATGAACTCTAATGAACTTATAATGATGCACCTACTCTTTGGAGGTGAACCCATGGTACCACACCATCTCTGTCGGACGATCTGATCAGTTTGATCAAAATCCTCCAGTTTAAAATCCTCACTGCTCAGATGAATCCTCCTCAAAGATACTTCCACCTCTTCCTCACATCTTGTTCTTTGGGAAACCTTCAAAATGAAAACAGGAGATTTGTGTCTACACAAAAGCATTGTACAAAAGAGGTCAAGCTTATTTTCTATTTCCTATATTCTCCCTAGTTTTATTTTTTTATATCCTAGAACTTAAACAAAACTCCAATTATGATACGTATCTCTTGATAATGAACCAAAGCTACTGAAATTGTGAGTATGCTTGTTAGCAAAATATTCCTGTCATCAGATCTCAGTTAGCTTCATTGCAGCTGAACACCGTGTTACACTGAACATGACATCAGCTGGTGGACATAAATACAGTACAGTAATATTATATTCACAAAATACTAACAATATGTTCATCTTACTTGTGAAAAGTTATCCCCCGAGACCTGATATCAACAGTCCGTAGATCTGAACAGAAATAAGCTGCGAAGTGCTGAGACATCTTCTGCTTTAACCAAATAAGGACGACCGTTCCAAGATGGCGGCCGAAAATCCTGCGCCGCAGCAGCCAATGAGGGATCTAGTGATTATATGATATCTATGATTCACTCCATGTAACAAAAGCCCACCCCCCAAAAGGAACGGATGCAGGGCAGCTCCATGAGCTCAGTTCTGTCAGAGGAAAATATTAATCGGCGGCAGGAAACTGCTGAGAGACGGTAGGAAGTCTTTCAAAATAAAATATAAATTATTGGTGGGGGGGGGGGACATAAATTAGCCGCTCCTGCATATAAAACGGGGTACAAAGTGTGAGAAAAAATTAGAGGCTTATACACTGGCACTTACGGTATTTGAAGCTTTTAGGTTAACGCATTAAGAAAGGTGAGCTGATGCATCGGTTTCACTTCACTGCATCTTTTTGTGTTTACTGGAAGAATTTTATCTAATGTGTTTGCTCTTTCAGGAATGCCCCCTCACATGGCTCCAAGGCCTGGGATGCCCCACCTTGCTCCAGCCCCTGCAGCAGGACCAATACCCAGCCGACCAGTGGTGCCAGCAGCTCAGCCCGCTGTCACCAAACCGCTGTTCCCTAGTGCAGCACAGGTTGGAGTTTTGTCTGTACTTTAATGCCATCCACTTGATTAACTTGACCATCTGTAAGTTTATAACAAATAAATATATATTTGTTTAATTGCTCATCTAACCGTATCTATTTAATTAATTATTTAATTTTTAAAATCAAACCATCTATTCTTTGGTTTGGGATAGTTTACGTAGACCTGTTGTATGCCAATCCTGTGATCTCCTTTTCACCATGCTGCAGATGGGTTCTGGTGTTCACAGCAGCACAACAGGCCCTTCCTCTCCGCCTGCAGACCTTCAGTCTGCCTCCTCCCAGACTCCCTTTTCTAACATGCCCCAAGTACGCTCACAGACAGCACTTTGCCGTGGACTGTGGCAGCTGCATGTTGCATATTCATGTTGCCTGTGAAGTGACAAACTCTGCTGTTTTACTAACAGCGTTTGCCTTGTACGCCTAATTGTAACTAAGAACTGTGAGCTTTGTAGCTGCATGTGCTTCAAATTACTGCAGAATAAGGCAGATAAAAAGGGTTTAACATGGATTTTTATTTATCATTGCTCACTCTTCCTAACTTCTCCAGCAAGAATAGTAAAATAATTAACTTTGAAGTGTACATTTTCCACATAATGTATAATTCTTTCCCCCATGTCTCTGAAAGTTTGACTACTGATGTTACATGTTACAACTTCTCTAATAATATAAAAGTCTGACCTCATTTCAAGCAGAATTAGTTTTATAGCTGAAATTACATTCAGTAGTCCCTCACCTATTGCGGGGGTTATGTTCCAGACACCCCGTGATGGGTGAAAATCCACAAAGTAGGTGCGCTATTTTTTTTTTTTTAGTATTTATACATATTTTAAAGCTTTATAAACCCTTCCCACACTCTTACAATGTTCTTAATAATGTTCTAAGCGCTCTAAAAGAGCACAGCGAAAGAGGGCAGACAGAGTGATGCTACGGTTACTGAGCCAACTCCGGTGTCGTGCCAAAAAGTGAACTGATGGTCTGCCAAAAATTGAATGGTGCCGCGGGAGCGTGCACGAGAGGACTCACTGTTTCAGTTCTTTGAAATTTAACGAGATTAACACCTAAAAATTATTTGTTAGCGCAACATTATAGCAAAGGTGTGTCTCTGTTTACCTTTTCCTTAATAAATACACTTTAATGGTCAAAAATGCTCTCGCGACGCCAATCGATTTTTGACAGACCATCACGTTTTGGCACAACACTAAAAGTGGACTAGCCATCGGGAGCACCTGGACATTTCCCGGTGGCCTGGCCCGCTCAGCGGTAGCCATGGGGCGGATCAAAGGCTCTGTTCAGGTCGCGCTTCAATATTTTAAGTAAACAATCCATGGCGCTCACTCAGGTATCAACTCCCACAGTCTGAACAGTAATGATGGGGATAGACAGCTCCTGCCCCCTCCTTTCTATTTCTGAGGCTGTCTGTCCTCTGCTGTGACACAGCCTCAGAAAGAGAAAGGACGGGATGGGGTCTATCGTTCCCCCATCGCCAAGCGTGTGTCGTGTACAATCTTACGTTAAACACTCGCGAAAGAGTGAGTCTGCGTAAGTCGAACCAAGTATCGAGGGACTACTGTAAACGGATGTTTTCATTGTTTCTAGTCTTTGCTGTGTGTGTCCTGCATATGAAAAGATGTTGTAGTATTTTAGATTCAGTAATCAACATGCTAATATCTTGTCCAATTGATTGTTTTTAAAAACAGACCTTAATTTAAAGAAAAAGATTGCTTATGATGTTTGGTTCCAAGGTATAATATGTTGATGCTTGTTCCTCTATATTGCTTTTATTCATTTATTTATTTTTGCATGTTAGAGGCTTTATAAATCACAAGTTTAGCCTGGTTTAGCTACATGTTGTGTGTTTTTTCACAGGCTCAGCAGAGCACCTCAGGAGCTACAGCTTCAAGTTCACTCAACACTTCCACCTCCTCTGACCCTCCCAAAGCAACATTCCCTGCCTACACCCAGCCCTCTGTCTCCTCTTCTTCTAATCCCTCTAGTAGCACTGTGGCCAAACCCCCAGCCACAGTGACCAGTAAGCCTGCCACCCTCACCACTACGAGTGCAACTAGTAAGTTGATCCATCCTGATGAGGATATCTCACTGGTAAGTTGCTTGAGCTTTCCGTTTTGCCCTTTTCACAGTAAGTAACTGATTTATATAGTATGTTCAGTGATATTTGACTATAGGCTACAAATTATCAGCAGTCAGTTTCTGCATAAAAACACAATAAACGAAAGCTTAGATGATCATTGAGGATCATCTCGCCAAGTTAAACATTTGGTTTGTATAGTCATAATAGCACTGAGTAGTTTCTCTTCCTCAGTCTGAAATCAGGGCACGCCAACAATGGTGCCCAATTCCTCAACGTTTTTGTGAGTGTTTCTTTGTACTGAGAAAAGGATCCCAGAGTTTCTGTAGTTCTGAACGCTTGCCTTGTGTGTCGTCTCTGTAACCAGGAGGAGATGAAGGCTCAGTTACCGCGTTACCAGCGTCTCATACCCAGGCCCGGTCAGGCCCATGCTGCTGCTGCCCCAGTGGCAGCTGTGGGCAGCATAATTCCCCCACAGCAAGGTCTGCCACCACAGCAGCCTGGCATGAGGCATCCCCTGCATGGTAAGAGCATGTACGATTTGGAGATCAGCGTCTCACTTCTTCTGAGACCCGACTGATTGTTGGATTGTATACCTGGATTGTTGAGCATGGATTTTTTTTTTTTGTTTTTGACTGATTTTTAAGAAAAACTTATTAAACACAACTATTTGATGTGATAAATTGCTTATTCAATCACATCATTACATTTTGATCCATTTTTAAATTGTAGCCCCCATTCACTACATCATGTGAAATGGGGCAACTTGACTTGGCTGAAACCGAGACTCGTCCTAAGCTGCGCAGAGCGCTGTCTGAACCGACAGGTTTTTTTGGGGTGGAGGAGGGGGGTGGGGGGTCGGTGCGGGGGAGAGAGACGCACATCTGAGCCGTGCGCTGTTTGTACTGAGAGTTTTCGAGTGGCTGGGGTGCGTTCAGCGTGAGGGTTCAGCATGAAGGAAGAGGCTGCTTTTAGCTTTTTAGCTAGTGCACCTGCATTGCGAGCCGCTAGTTTAGCGTTACGTCAGTGCAGACGGGGGGGGGGTGGGGGGTGGGGTTCGGTAGACGGGACGCTCGGTTCTGTTGATGGGGCGGGGCGCCCCGCTTGTATAATGGTAGGGGAAACACTGAAGTAAATGTACACTAAAGTGTTGTTATATTATTGTCTCATTTAAACATGTTCTGTGCAGGTCAGTACGGTGCCCCCCCTCAGGGCATGCCTGGCTACATGCCTGGAGGGATGCCTCCATATGGGCAAGGACCTCCCATGGTTCCCCCTTACCAGGGCGGGCCTCCACTGGGTATGAGGCCACCTGTCATGTCTCCAGCTGGACGCTACTGAAGAAACAAAGCAGCCACCACATTAGGTTTGAGGTTAACACCTTTCTCTCATCCATGTGCTTTTTCAAACCTAGCTGCAAGCAAAGAGTAGTAAAACCAGTGGTGGTGAAGACAAACGTTTATTAAAACGCATGGACATTTATTCTAACATGTTTATTGGAGAGAAAAAAACAGCCAAACACCACATTAATACCTAACAACTTGTTGGTGTTACTTGATCACATGTGAGGATATATTTTTTTCCCTCTCAGGTTCATAGAGGTGAAGTGTGTAAAAATGATTCGTATTTCTTTTGAAGCCGCTGGAGTTACATGAACATGCCAACCCCTTACAAAAGGCAAGTTTTTTCTTGTAAACATTTGATTATTTTTATTTCTTTAATAGAGCGATTGAGGCCCTCACAGCATGCGCAGGTGCTGTTGGACACTCGTCCCCAACTTTGGTTGGTGAGGGTCTCAGTGACGATGATTCCAACAGAGTAGTGTTTAAATGTGTCTCAAAACTTTAGCTTTGTCCTTTTTTCAGGTTTGTTTTAATATTTCATGGTCAAACACCTACCTGTATACATCCTTTGTAATGTTTTATCATTCTGTTGTAATAAAATCCATCTTGAAATCTATTGCTGGTTTGTCCTGACCTACGTGGAGGTGAGTCAATAAGGTTTGTACAGACGTTGTACTTCTATACTTTTTATGGCTTTGTAATAGGATTCCATCAGGTATTTAAATACAAAGTTTGCCGTAGTTTTGTTTATTTCCTCATCCACCTGTCATTGTCATGATAAACTTCTTTTAACATACAGGTGCTGGTCATAAAATTAGAATATCATGAAAAAGTTGGTTCCATTCAAAAAGTGAAACTTGTATATTATGTTCATTCATTACACACAGACTGATATATTTCAAATGTTTATTTTTTAATGTTGATAATTATAACTGACAACTAATGACACCTGATGCCACTCTAATCAGCTAATTGACTCAAAACACATGCAAAGACCTTTAAATGGTCTCTCAGTCTTGTTCTGTAGGCTACACAATCATGGGGAAGACTGCTGACTTGATAGTTGTCCAAAAGACAACTATTGACACCTTGCACAAGGAGGGAAGACGCAAAAGGTCATTGCTAAAGAGGCTGGCTGTTCACAGAGCTCTGTGTCCAAGCACATTAATAGAGACAAGTAAGTATCTGCAGACAAATTCAGAAGGCGTATTTAAGAGGCCACATCTTATTGGACGAGGCGTATCGGGGGGGGCACATCTGATTGGACGATATAAAAATGGGCGTGTCTGGAGGGCTACATCTGATTGGACAAAAAAAAAGGCTGAACAAACAAACAAAAAAAGCCGTTTGTGTTAACCACAGACATATGTCTAAAAACAAGGCGTTATTGGCAGATTGTGTTAACCACAGGCATATTATGTCTATTGTGTTAATCGGTTTGACATTACCTTCTCTTTCTGCCTCTCTTAACACAGAACTTCCGATTACATTTCAAAATAAGAGCAACATAAATGGGTAATGGGGAGGGCTAAATGTTTGTTTCTTTAATACCTAGCCATTACATTAAAAAACAAAATCCATTTTGGTTGTTGAAAAATGTCAAAATAGTTGCAATCAATTCATAAAGAAAGAAAAATAAAGTAACCAAAATAATAATGATACTGGTCTTGGGACAAAATATGTTTCCTTTAACTTCACATTTTCTTGTTCAACCTTTTAAAGCAGTCACTACAGATGAGTGATTGTCCGTTTCTGTAAGATTTCTGCAACTGGAGCAGGTATTTCTGTTTACTGGTTAACTTCCTCAGCTGTCTCACATTTTAAGGATCAATCCTACTCCATGTTTCAGCTCCTTTCATAGATCAGATCTCATAGAAGAGCACTTCTAAAGAGCAAATTTTGTTTTTAGCTTTTGTTTTCGGTCATCATCTCGTCATTGAACTCATGATCTTTAATTGAGACCAGACTTTTTGACAAATGGGAGTAGGGTTCACTTCAGATGCTTTATATTTCATTGTACCCAGACCACACTCAAAGCAACCTGTGTCAGGTGCAGCCTGCAACCCAAGAACAAAAGAGAATCTTCTTGTGTTTGACAGTAGATGGAACACCGTTTCTTAGAAACCTTCAGCTTTAGAAAAGAGCGGACGTAACTTAATTAAAGAGCAGCAAATACAGTTAGCCAATCAGTGTTTGCCCTCTACAAACGCCTATTCTCCAGAAATGCCCACTTTTGGTCTGCAGAGAACTCCTTCTCAATAGAGGTGAAGGGAAGGAAAAGATGTGGTAGAATAAAATGTAAATTGTAAATGGACTGTACTTACCAATCAGCCTTTATTTATACAGGTAAATCCCATTGAGCCTCTAGGACTCATTTACAAGAGAGACCTGATTTCAACAAAGAAAGATGACAACAATGGACAACAGCAACAACAATAAACAGTTATAAAAAAGCATACTACCGATTTTTTATTTATTATTTTTTTTAACAAATAGGATGGCTAAAAGGAAAAGGTAACAAAACAAAAAACAGCTAGATTCCAAGACAAATGTAGAAAACTAAAAACAGGAACATGTCTGCATTGGTCCCTGCCAGGTGTCCAACAGATTCTTAAAGACACTTAGAGAGGTCAAGGTCGAGAGCTTCAAATCTTTTTGTAAGATATTCCAGGAAACAGGAGCGGAATAGGAGAAGGCCTTTTGCCTAGTTCAGTCCTCATTGAGGGAACACTGCAGGTAATAATGTCCTGAGAGCGCACTCCGTAGCTGCACTCACGCAATACTTATATAGTGCCTTTCTATCTTATTTCAAGATACTCAAAGCGCTTTACACTACAGTCTGTCCTCATTTACCCAATCACACAGCACTCTACTAGATCTCTACAAAGCTAATTGAACAAATCATTCTAAAGAGACTAATCAGTGCTTTAGATCACATTCATACACTGATGGGACACACATCAGGGGCTATGAGGGGTTCAGTGTCTTGCCTAGGAACACTTCAGCATGTGACTGCTGGTGGATTCGAACCCCAAACTTTTGCATTGGAGGACGACTGTTCTAACCACTCAGCCACAGCCACCCCTACAAGCAATAGGGATAACCGCACCCTGGAGAGGATGGTGAAACAAAACTCATTCCAAAATGTGGGGGAGAGTCACAAAGAGTGGACTGCAGCTAGTGTCAGTACTTCAAGAACCACCACGCACAGACATATGCAAGACATGGATTTCAGCTGTTGCATTCCTTGTATCAAGTCACTCGAACAAGAGACGACGTCAGTAGCGTCTCATCTGGGCTAAAGACAGAAAGGACTGGACTGCTGCTGAGTGGACCAAAGTTATGTTCTCTGATGAAAGTACATTTTGCATTTCCTTTGGAAATCAAGGTCCCAGAGTCTGGAGGAAGAGAGAAGGCACAGAATCCATGTTGCTTGAGGTCCAATGTCGTTTCCACAGTCAGTGATGGTTTGGGGTGTCATGTCATCTGCTGGTGTTGGTCCACTGTGCTTTCTTAGGTCCAAGGTCAAGGCAGTCGTCTACCAGGAAGTTTTAGAGCACTTCATGCTTCCTGCTGCTGACCAACTTTATGGAGATGCAGATTTCATTTTCCAACAGGACTTGGCACCTGCACACAGTGCCAAAGCTACCAGCACCTGGTTTAGGGACCATGGTATCCCTGTTTTTAACTGGCCAGCAAACTCACCTGACCTTAACCCCATAGAAAATATCCTGATGCATGCTCAATAATCCAGGTAGAAAAATCTAAAAAAGTTAAATCTGGTCCTCTGGACATTCAAAAAAACAAAACAAAGCAAATCAACAAAATTTTTTTTGTTGATTTGCTTTGTTTTGTTTTTTTTAATGTCCAGAGGACCAGATTTAACTTTTTTAGACCCATAGAAAATCTGTGATATTGTGAAGAGGAAGATGAGATACACCAGACCCAACAATTCAGAAGAGCTGAAGGCCACTATCAGAGCAACCTGGGCTCTCATAACACCTGAGCAGCGCCACAGACTGATTGGCTTTTCATGTTCATACTTTTCAGTTGGCCAACATTTCTAAAAATCCTTTTTTTAATTGTTTTTAAGTAATATTCTAATTTTCTGAGATACTGAATTTGGGGGTTTCATTAGTTGTCAGTTAAAATCATCAACATTAAAATAAATAAACATTTGAAATATATCAGTCTGTGTGTAATGAATGAATATAATACAAGTTTCACTTTTTGTTGAAATTACTGAAATAAACCTTTTTATGATATTCTAATTTTATGATCAGCACCTGTACATTTGAAATAAAAATGTTACCTTCCAAAATCATGTGGACCAGACTTTTGGTTTGAAATACAACATCTAACACAATATGATTGAAGGGTGTTCAAATTAATTTAAGTTGCATTAGATGCAACTCAAATTAAGTTTTGTAGTGCACATTCATATTAGCCTTCAAACATGCATGAACACCTCGGTCTCAAAAACTACACACCCAACAATACAGAAGGTCCAAGTTTAATCTTGTGAAGCTGTTACATGACCTGTAAAGCTAATTATCTTTTCATTAGAGGCTTGTAGTAGTTATGAATAAGTAACTTCTAGTAAAGGTACTTCTCAAAACTTTTTTTGAAACTGTTCTCATCCCAGGAGATCATTAGTAAGAATTAGCTGGAATGGCAAAGGTCGTCTTGTAAATGTTGCTAATTCATTTGAAGTTTCCCAGGAATGAAAATGAATTTGAGTGACACCAAACAAATGGAGCAAAAAATACTGCTTTTGATTGCTCTGCTTATCTTTATTGTTGGGTGATTTTATGTTTTGTCAGCATCATTTTTTATTTACTTATTTATTTTAAGTCGGCAACACGATCATCCTGTGATGGTGATTGTTCTGCTGAAGTCAATCTATAAGATAATGAACCTATTAAAGACATCAGGAACTTGAGTTCAAACAGGAAGTACGTCTCTTTAGTGTTGCAGACATTTTCCTCTGGATAAATCACTTACCGCTCTGTATTTGTTTTTGTCTGTAGCCCATCCATATGAGCTTTTCAGCCTAAAAACCCAGTCAGCTGGCATGACAGGTCAGTTAAATCCTGTAAGTACCTAATGTTCAATATAGTGTGGGTCTGTCCCTCGTATACATGGATGCTGGGACATGTACTGTATTCTATAAAGTGTTTTTTCTAAGAGTATTTGATCTATTGATGATGACAAACATCACGACGACCGGGTGTAAAGATTGAATAAGTACCATACACATCACGATGACCGGGTGTAAAGATTGAATAAGTACCATACACTTGTCCTGTCTGGCATAACATCTGCCAACATGGTAAGTAGAAGAGTCTTTAAGGAGCTGAGTTCTCATGTGGTGTCCAACGATGTGGTTCAGCTGGTTTAGTACTCAGTTTGTACCATTTTCTATAAACTGCACACGATCTGCCAAACATTTAGTTTGATAAACATTT